ATTCTAAATAAAAAAATTAAATTTTCATAAAATAAAAAAACTATCAATTAATTTTTAATTTTAATTTAATATATTATCAGTTATTATAAATTTTTTATTAAATTTTGTTTAATAATTTATATTGTTAAATAAATTTTAATTTTTTAATTTTTAAAGAAGAAATTACCGAATTCATTCCATGTCAATATCTCATGACATTGAACTATACTTAAATTTTTATATTTTTCTAAAATTTTTGATTTTCTTTAATACACAATTTTAATATCCATTAAGATTTTGTTTGTTTTTAAAGTTTTGAAACATTCATTATAATTGTTTTTTCAATTAATTTTACAATCGTATTATTTTTTGAATATATTTTTTATCGTAAGATTTATTTTCATTTAATAAACATAATATTTTTACTGTTAATTTGAATTTAATTTGACTTATTAAAAAATTTGACTACGCATTTTTATCAAATTTATTTAATATTCAAATTATGTTTAATTCTTTAAAATATATAAAAATTGGTTTCTAAGGATACCGCTATTAACTAGCTAGAACAGCTGATAAAATCTTAAGTAGCGACATCTACTCAATTACGTTTCACAAATCAACATACGCACATTCAGATTTTTTTCCAAATAATGATTGAATGTTAACGAAGATATATCTTGAGATTATTGTTTTCTATTTTCTCGTTTTCATTACAACATAATTATTGATAACATCTCAAAATATCAATATAATAATGGTACAATTAATCGGTGTTGACTTCGAAATATTTGGAAGAGTACAAGGTAACTGAATATTGTTTTTTAACAAAATTATGATGGTATTAATTTTAGATTCTCTTTCTTAAAGGTGTATTCTTCAGAAAGGTAAGTAACATGAATTAATTAACAATTAATAACTAATATAAATCACGAAGAAATATCGCAAATTTTACAATTTGATATAGAAGTGACATCTGGTAGGTGAAAAAGTTATTAAGAATGAATAAATATACATATCGATATTTTAAATTGAAAATCAAATTCATCTAATATTTTTTGTATTTTTAATTTAAAATAAAAGATAATATTTTTTGTATTTTTAATTATAACTGTAATGCTTATGCGTATACTTATGTCTGTATTTGTGAATCGGTAAATCAGTTTCCTATCGGTAAAATATTCAAACTAACCTTAAATAATTTATTGTTTTTATTAATACAGTATACTCAAAAACACGGTAACGAGTTAGGTTTAAAAGGTTGGTGTATGAATACTGATAAAGGCACAGTTATAGGTCACCTCGAAGGAGAAAAAAACAAAATAGAGGAAATGTAAGTTTAGTTCAAAATGTTTAAAAAATTTTTAAAATATATTAAATCATTATTCCTGTTCAATATATTTTTATTATAGGAAAAATTGGTTACGATATACAGGAAGTCCGCAATCAGCTATAGATAAAGCGGAATTTCGTAATGAGAAAGAGATAAGTAAACTCTCGTTTAATAATTTTGAAATTAAAAAATAGTTTTTCATTCAAGTGAAATTATTGAGTTGTTTTTTCTTTAATATTATAATTTATATAAAATTATAAAGGATATGTATATGATGTGTTAATATATACGATACAGTTAAAATAAAATAAAAATATTTAATTTATTATATTTTATCCTATATTTTTTTGTATAGATATTATTTATAATCTTATTTCATATATATTTTTCCATAATTTAATATTAAAAAATATATTATATTAAAAAATACATTATATGCATATAAAGAAAAGTTATTCATATTTTAATATTTATTAACTTTTCTAATTTTTTTTTTATTTTAATATCATATTTTTGTATAATTTATGATATTTGTGATGTTAAATTATCACCTTATATTATTTATGACTCTGATATCTCTGTTCGCTATCTGAAAAAAACATTATGAAACAATATTGTTATTTCTTTACATATTATAAGTGACAAGCGTACGATGAATGAACACTTTTAAGGCAGCATTAACCGTTCCGTACAATTTCTACCGCTATCGGCACAAACTTCATTAGTTGTCGAGCGCGAACCGTCGCGTACGCTTCAAAACTTTCGCCTGTCGATCTTTCTGTCGTATAGATGCAGTTGCACTTTATATTTATCTGACTATCTCATCATTATATAAAATACTTCTGTTTAATTTTATTTAATTTCCATTGATATCATCTATTAAAATAACAATTAAAATATGGAACAGTTGGAAATGTCAAAATTAATCAATATTTAAGATAAGACAGTGTCGAAAAATTTTAAGATTTTCATTTCATTTCATTATGGTCAATAAATGATCTAATTATATAGAGGTATGTCATGTAGAAATATGTCATGTTTAGTTAAGAGCAGCAATTCATGAATTGTAAAGTGTATTAAGAATAGACTGGTAATAACTAGATAATTGAGTGGTAGTGATAATACAATGATTGGCAAACGTGGGGAAATGTCACAATCAGCATGAAGTGTTTCAAGAAATTCTTTCAGCACACTTGGCATTTACAACAGGTAAGAATACATATATTCCATAGAAACTGGTCTCGCTTTGCTTGATCAACAAAATCTTCGGATAATATTTTTTTAAAAACATAAAAACATATCGAACACCTCTATTAATTAAATTTATGCAAATTAATTTTTAAATACTATCAAAATTCAAGGTTTCTAATTTTTTAGTAATATTGTGACAGTGTTTTTTTCAATATGAACGACTTATTTATGTAAACGACCTTGTACTATACATAATTACGAATATGATAATTATAAAATGGTAATTATAATATTATCATTATGATAATTATTTGTGTTTTATTAAAAAAGAAAGAAATTAGAGAAGAAGAAATCGATATAATATTTTTATAAATTTTATAAAATGTTTTTCTTTGTTATTTCACTTTGTTCTTTCACCGAAAATTATAAATATATATAAAAGATTATGTGTGATAGTAAAACGATTCATAAAAACGTTAAACATCGACAAGTACACTTGTTCGTCATTTGAGTGGTAGCCTTGTGCCTCTTTGAGAACGAGTTACTTTCGTTCGTCGATTTAGACACAACCTTACCATACTTTCACCTTCTTGTTCGAAAAAAATTTCATTTCTAATAATTAATCGGAGTTCATTGAATCATAGCCAATGAAGTCGGATCAATAAAAAATAAGAAATCGATCAATGATGAAATAAAAAAAAAAAAAAAAGAAAAGAAAAGAAAAGAAAAGAAGTATACAAAATTTCTAAATTATTCTTCAACAAACTTCAATTTGTTGTTGTATCAGTCATCGAGTAATACTTTCTTATTTTATGGAATTTAAATTTCAATGTGATCATTCACAACAACATTTTATTTTTATATCCGGCTTTTCTATTTCTTGATTCTCCTTCACGAGATTTGCGATTACCTGTTGAAAACATGAGCCTCGCCAGATTACGCAAGGTATCGTACGTATCATCATTGCTGGTGCATCCTCGAATTGTTGCGCATTTGCTCACGTAACAATTCTCGCACTTCAATAACATGAAATTCTTTTTATATATACTTTATTCAATTTTGATATTTTATTCAAAGCACTATATATCTTGAATTTTTCATATTTTTGAAAATCATTGTGTCGATCTATAAATTTAGAATTTTCATCTTAAGCTTTTAATACTCGCAACTTTATACGAATGATTACTCGAATAACTTTGATAACTTTATGAAAATACTTTTAAAAAAATTTAACTTTTGATTATAACATTTAAATAAATTAAAAGTTATAAATGCTATTGAAATGAAAAGATTAAGTAAAATTAAAAAACAACGTTGATCTTTTTAATACCAGACGTTATCATACCATAAAAATATTGATGCTACTTCCTTTTTTTTTTTTTTAACTTATCATATTATTTAAAAAGGTAGAAAGAAACGTAAAGAAATGATATCGATGAGCATCGAACTTCCTCTAAACGATTTATGAGCCGATTAGTGGCGATCGGCATTCACACGAGAGTAGTTCGATAATAAGAGATCAGGGGGTCGGGACTGATAAAGGTTGATAATGAGCCCCGACTCGACGTAACTACTCAGTTCCTCCGGTGTCGCACGCAAATAAACTACAATCTTTCTCGCCTCGAACGAACGGGTTGAACGTCTTAGAAACGTGTGTTTGAAGAATAAAAAATTTAAAAATCGATTAAATATTCCGATAATACTGTTACATCAAGTTCTTTTTTTTTTGTCAGCAATTTACATAGCGATATAATGTGACTAACATCATCCAGTTGGTCATAAATATGAACGGCGATGGTAATTGTCATACTAGGAAATATGGATACCCGTTTAATAACGTGAGTGTCTGATCTAATCGCAATTTTTATCTTAAAGAACATCTTGTTTTTCTTTCTTTTTTTTTTTTTTTCCTTTA